GCGCTCTACCACTGAGCCACAACCCCAGCCCCATAGCATGGAGAGTTTTCATGTTCACACCCAATATTTCATGTTGCACAATCAAAATTCAGGTGGAGGAGTTATGATGGCCACTATGGAAAAACTAAAGGTCATCTGAGGTAAGCCTTTCCCTTGGCTTTTGGTTTAGCTCAGTTTTAGTCAGCTTTTTCATGACTGTGACCAAAATTCCTGACAATAAGAATTTAGAGGAGGGGAAGTGTATTTGTGGTTCAGGGTTTCAGAGGTCTCAGTCCATAGATGGCTGACTCCGTTGCTTTGGATCCAAGATGAGCCAGCACATCATGGGGAAAGGGCTAAGCAAAGGAGAGCTGCTTAACTCACGGTGGAATCAGGAAGCAGAGAGAGAAGGGGAATGGGTCGCAGGAAAAAGATAGCTTTCCATGGCATGCCCCCTTGACCCACCTCCTCCAACCATGAGCCATCCGCCTACAGTTGCCACCCAGTCTATTCAAACTAGAATGAACTGATTAGGTTATAGCTTTCATAATTTAATCATTTCACCTCTGGAGATTCCTGCATTAACAGAAGCTCTAGGGAACATACATTGTATGCAAACCATAACAAACTCCTTATGAAAAAAGGAAATTATCTTGGGATCCTGTTATAACTACTTATATAATATACGATACCTGACAAGCAATCTCAGAGAAAACAAAAAGGCCTTTCACGTCTTACTGACTTTTGTGTCTCTTGTAATAAATTTATTGAACAGACTGGGTTCAGAAGAAACATTTTTTTTCCTCCAGCCTTTGCCTTTAAACATAATATTATTCCTAAGACTGTCCTTTCTCAACCCTTCATGGTATTATAGATCCCATGGGTTTCTAAGAAAGTCTTCCTTTTCAGATCTAAAGACTTTAATCAAAACGTTAATCTCAAATCCAATTAAAAACTTCTTTTTTTCCTATCTTTGACCTGTTATAGAGGTTGAGAACAAGGAGAGAAGGAAATTATTTCACTTCCCCACCATATCCTCCTCTTCTCATTCTTTAAGTGATCACAAGTTGAAGAGGGCAGGAGATATTAAAAGTAAAAAGTCTAACATCTTATTTGGCGTGATTGTACTATGGCATCTGTGCCCTCTGTCAGGGAAGGGATCCAAACACAGATTGTTTCCTGTACTTTAGAACCCTGGAAAGATTTGTTCACATCATTACTCCTTGGTAAATGAGAGACATTCATCTATAAATGCCTCTCATCTCTGGCCCGCTATGGAACCCCCATTGCCTCTTTGTACCCAGGTCTTCTCAAAATCAGAAGAACTGATCTTAGTGGACTGACCATGGATAATATAACTGTCATTGGAAGCCCTTATTTCTCAGAAGGAGCACATATTGTTCAAGCTGCCATGATGTTCTAAGTAGTACACATTAGGGCAAGAGTAAACCTTTACGGGATAAATAAAACCTTTGGTAATCTCAAACTCCAGATTTCAGAATTGTTATTCATCATTCCATTGTCATCACTGAACAGTAATTGAACTTTTTGTGTGAGGAAAACTGTATTATAAAGGCAGAGGTGGGGCTGGGGATGTGGCTCAAGTGGTAGCGTGCTCACCTAGCGCATGAGACACTGGGTTGGATTCTCAGCACCACTTTATTTTATATGTAAAATAAAGATATTGGGTCCACCTTAAAAAAAACTAAAAAATAAACATATTTTTAAAAGAGGTAAAAGAAGAAGTTTAATAATGAGGGAGAGTTTATATTTGGTGCCAAGTAAGCAAAAGGAGGCAGCAGATGTATCAGAAAGGGGAGCAACTTCGGGGAGCAAAAGTCCATGGCAAGTTTAGCATCTGTGCATGCAGCTGGAGAGGCGCTAGGTCTTAGAAGGAGGATACTAAGGCAAAGTCCTTAACAAGGGAATACAGAAAAAAGAAAGGCAAATGACACTAGCATATATGAGGGGCATTTTTCCCAGGCCCGAATACCTCCTATGCAAATGCTTGTATCTTATGCATGGGCATTCAGGAAGCAGTGAGGAAATTTCATACAAATACTTGGAGAGTCATTCAGAGGCAGGCCTTAAAAAATCTTGAATACTAGGCTCAGAAAGATGCAAAAAGGTACAGTTGACGTTTTTGACCTTGTGTGTGTTGCATAGTAGGAACAGGGGTGGGGAAGAGAGAATATCAAGCATTGAATAAAATCTGTATTGTGTCTAATTGGGAAAAAACTGTATTCCAGGCACTATTAGGAATTCACAGGTGGTGCCAGTCTCCTTGGTGTCACAGGCATTCATTAGGATCTTGGGCATTGTGTGAAAGGTAGAATATTTACTTTCCATTTGCTAATGATCTGGTGTGAATTGGTATACACATTCAGGTACCAGGCTTGCTGCACTCAATGTGTTACTCTTAAATTAACTGCTACTACCCCTGGGCTTCTATTTATTTGTTCCCCAAATCCAGAAACATAACTTTTTAAATCTCTCCATTTGTTGTGAGTTATCATTCAGCACACTGTATGTGAATAATGAACACTATATAGGGAAGAATATTTATAAGTTGGACAATGCAGGTGCATCAGCCTCTTAGTGCCTTAATCATGTATCTAACTTAAGATCTCTCTTAAGATCCAAAAATTTCCTTGTTTTAAGTCACAACTTCTCAATTATTCTTTCTAATGTATCTTCTTTTTATATTCCAACTTTTGCTTTTCCAAATTAAAACTCTGCTCCTTTAAAGTTTATCTCTTGGTCTCTTTTCTTTTCTGCTGGCTTTTGGTTTGGTGCTCATTAGCAGTATGAATTTAGGTAAATAATTTGATCTTCTTAGGTGTGTTTTTCAGTTAGGTTGGATTGAGTAATCTTGACCTGTCTTTAGTTTAAAATGAAATAATGTATGTAAAGTCTTTTCATGAACCAGTGGGTACCACAGATATGTAGGGTAGCTTTCATTTGTTTCTATTTTATTTTTTTCCGATTTCTGGATCCCTTTGATTGCTTCTAATACCCCCATCTCATGCATGTCAAGGATAACTTTTCCATTACACTTTATTCAAAAGAAGATAGCAAGAGTATGAAAAGTATGTAACAGCTTCTGAAATAGTATCTGGGTGTGTGACGGGAGTGGGGTCGGGTGGGGGAAGGTATTCTTTTCTTGCCTGTTCTCTATTTATATACATATGGAAATAACAGTTTCCATTTTTTCCTGCTGAGATTTGAGAGGATTCAAGAATTCTCTGGACATGGTTCAAATGACACATTTCAATGGTTATTGCCCTACCCATTCCAACAGGATTCTGAGTCCTTGGAACCCACCTCTATCAGCCTCTAAAGCATTTCTGGGAGTCCCTGGTCAGCTATTATAATGTCAATAACTACCTCCCCTGCCATTTTCCACTCAGTCTCACTTCAGGTAGTTATGAGTTTACTCCCCAAACATTACAGCATCCACCAGTCTCCATCTCACCTTTGGCTGCAGTTGAACCACTGAAGCCCAGGTGATGCCAGGGGTGTGTAGACTGCTGCTACAAGTGGGGCAGTATGCTTACTTGCCATGCTGTGCAGGAATGCTGTGGAGAGATGCTAAATGGCACAAAAGTCTTGGGTGAACGTGGTCTTTCAGTTTTTTTTTTATCATACTCACATTTTCATATGAACTTAGTATAGAGAGAAATCTGAGTGATAGACCCAAAGTTTAATCAGAATATCCACTACTTTTCAGGGACCTTTCTTTCACAGTCAAACTTGAGATACTTGCTTTCTTTTTATTGCAGGATGATTTGCTTTGTAGAGGTGTTTCTTTAGTCTTCTAACAGTAAAGCAAGAAGTTCAGTTCATTACTCATATCCAACCTGCATTAAACGTGGAAAATTTATATTCTCCATCCCTGGCACCAGAATGTTATAAGAAATATAATTGTCTTTAGGAAAAATACCTTGATGAGTGCCTGGAGTAGATAGAAGTTGAGATTCAAAGGCAGGGGGTTGAGCGTGACCAAGATACTTCATTGCTTGTGGGTGAGGGAGAAAAGCAGAGAAATAAGGTAGAAAATGAGATGGGGAGGTTAGATTAGACCCTGCAGAGGAAAGGAGTATCAGAGAAACCTGTTGGGTCATGGAGGTAGAAGTGACTTTTAAACAACAGTAATTTATTATAAGTATTGCATAATGGATTACTGTGTAATTCTTTTTTTTTTTCATTTGGGGAGGACATTGGACTGTTATGTAGCACAGAATAAAAGAGTATAGAAAGTCTAAGCCTGAAGTAAGAGAAGCAAGAGTGGTTCCCAGCCATTTGGGTTATGTATGTTAAATAATAAAGTTATGTTTCAATATGGGGATCTTCCCAAAAAGTTTATTCCTACTTATAGTATGATGGAGAGACAAGAATCAAGCCAATGTAAAACCACGTTATTGACAAAATTAAATCATCAACATTTATTGATGTATTAAGGATGAGCTAGATTGGCTAAGTAGCCTGCAGTTCTGGGGAACAGTGAAATGAATGTCTTGACAAATGAAATGAATTAAATTTTGACTGAAAGTTTTAAAGGATTGAAGGCACAGCATTTGGAAGAGAAGCAGATAAGGAAGGTGATTTGTATTAGTGGATAAAGGTTCAGAAACAGAGGAGGCGAGAGGGAGAGGGAAAGGAGAGGGAGGGGAGAGAGAGAAGAGAGAAGAGAGAAGATACAGAGCAGGTGCACAAGGGCAATGGCTAGACTTTTCCTTGACTGAAATTAGAAAATGAATTAAAGGCTTATTTGGGAAGCATTCAGGGTATGGGAAATATATTCTTGGGATGAAAATATTCCTGTTAGTTTGTGAAGAAATCGGCAATTATGACAAGGATAAAATGATGGGTGCACAACATGGTTGGGACTGGCATGCATAGAATTTACTGTGTTTAAGATTCCAGATATGACATAGACTAAGAAGAGATGGGGCAGTCATGAGAATGTTGGGATCAACCTGGGGATTGTGGACGCAAAAAGAAAGGAGTGGAACAGAACAGAGAATGAATTGTTTATTTAGAGACAAATGGCTGGGGATGACAGAGAATGAGAGAAAGGCTTACATTCATGGTGGACTGCAATCACACAGGAGATTATCAAGAGCAATGTGGGCTACCAATATTGACTGGATCAAGGCAAACTCCCATTTTCCCTGAGGTCAGTACCTGGCTTCTCAGGTAGCCTCTGGGCCCAAGCACTTCATCTTTAGGACCCTTTTCAATGTAGGGCTGCTCAGCATCAGTGAAGTAGAATGAATAGAAATTAGAGCATAGATGATGGCTTCCCAGAGCCAGTACAAAGATTCATTACCAGATACTTTACTTACAAATTGGATTACTAAGATCAGAAAATAAGAGGTGAATACTATGAAGAATGTAGCAAGAGACTTCAGGGCAGTACGGTGAGCTTGCGTGCTCGAGTTGCAGTGGCCAGAGTTATGTTGTTGCATCTGCTCCCTGTGCCGGATCAGTGAGGCCATAACTAAGACCATTGAGGCCAGGAACAGGAGGAAGGGAACAAGCAGCACACCAATTGTTTCAGCTTTGAAAAAATACTGCTCAAACAGGTGAAATCTCTCAGTCCAAGTGCTGTTTCCGGGTAAATGCTTCATGGTGATTAATTGAATCTGTTTTCGATTCCTAATAACTGAAGGGATGAATGCTACACAGGAAAGTATCAGAGTACCCAGCAACAACCAGGGAACCAATCTCAAAATTCTCCACCTCAGCCAGAGGAAGATTGGATGGGTGAAGGAAGAGATCTTGACACAGTAGAAGGCAGCAAGCAAGCTGGTTAACCAGAATGTAAGAATATTAGTGAACTCCCAGATGATTGCTATGTTCCCAAATGTGTAATTATAGTTAAAATAGGAGCCAAAATTGTTCAACACTGATGTCCACTGCAGACAGAAATGGCAGATGCCCAGGCTGATGAGGATCATTTCCACTGATGACAATCTTTTGACCTGCATCCACTTTCTGCCCAGCACTGCAACCATGAAGCTGCTTTGTGCAATTGTGGTCAAGGACTCAAGCACATAGATGATGATGAAGAAGATAGTCAGTTGGATGAGTACCATGCTTCTTTTTTGAAGTATCTTTTGGGACAAAGACTCAAAAGCTTTGTGCGAATTTCTAGGTAGAAAACAGGTTTCACTCCAGTACTGCCTGGTATAAAAAAAACACATCCCTCTGGATGCAAATTCACCCCAGATCATTTTTAAGTTTGTCATTTTCCTACCTACAGGATTTGTTTATGCTTTGCTTGCTGGTTTGTTCCTACATCTGGAGGCAGGGAAATGTTTTTTGAATGTGGATTCCTGCTCCTAAGATGATTTGATTATTTCCATGAAGGCATATCTATTTCATAACCATGCTGTTTATTTCCTCTTTATCTGTCTGAGGTGCCCTTAGATGATTTCCCCAGATTCTTTAAATGGTATCTTCATGAGTTTAGCCTACAATTTAAGCCACAGGAAAGAGAAATACTTCACTGTTCATTCATGGCCTGGATGATGCTTCCATTCTACTGAATGCTGTACCAGTGCTAACTTCAGAAGCCCTATCTACCAACTTACTCAACTGTAAGAGTAAATAAAAATTATAATGAAGTCTTTCCTCTGAGATTCCACCCACAAAATTGCTGGAATCCAGTGCAGACCAATCTTGCAATTGTCTGCTGAATTTCATAACTTGGAGAAATCAAACCACAGAGACATCACTGCACATTTTCTTGAACTCCCTCCAATCAATATGCAGTATCCTTAGCTATTGTTCTTCTGCCAATTCCAGTGCCTTGAGCATAAGCTTGCTATATTTTTGGAAATGGTTCTTCTCCCACTAACATCACTCTTTCTTCCCCCTCCTTTCATGGTTGGGTTCTTTTTGTCACTCCTCCTAGATGAAAGAGAGCACTTTTGCCACGAGTAAAGCACATTACTCCTAAATATGTGAGAATTATTTAATAGCTATAGAAGTAGGCTAGAGAAGGGATATCTTTTCCCTGGTTATGGATAACTATGTCAGGTAGGCACCAAATATGTAATTAGTATCTTCAGAAATGAGAGGTTACTTCCAACAATTATTGGTTGGTGAGTGAAGTCATAGACCCTATGTATGATACTCCAAGTCTGTGTGGATATTTCATCATTCAAGAAAGAGAAGACAGAAGTAATCCAACATGAAGCTTAGAATTTTTTAACATAAAGCCAAAAAGACCCCTGAACTCATGATACAAAAGACAATAGTTAAGGTTGGGGATGTAGCTCAGTTGGTAGAGTGTTTGCCTTGCATGTAAAAGGCCCTGGGTTCAATCCCCAGCACCACAAAAATTAAAATAAAAAAGACAATAGCTTAAAGAATTATTCCAGAGAATAAATTGAAATTAGAAAGCATCTGCTTTACATTCTCAGTAAAATAATAAATAAATAAATAAATAAATAAAGACAAAGCAGTCTGTGATTAAAAGATGAATTGGTTGAGTTGCATCCAGAAATAAGGAAGGAGAGATGAGTTGTTCAGTGTTGATTAGTACAAATGCAGTGGCAGCATTAGCATCTGCCTTGTGTCCTCTGCACACCAAGCACATTGCTTCTTAGTTACACCGTCTCATTCTGAGTAACCTTAGCATGATTGTGATGCTCCAAGCCTCTGTCTGAATCATAGTCACCAGACATGCTACAGCCCTCAGGGCTGGGTATCGGCCATAACAGTTTGACTAAGAGTAAGTCTCTGCTGAAAGCAGCCCTCATAGTGTGGCCTATAGGTGGAGAGATGGCCTGGCACTACTCTCCTTTGCAGGGGCACTTGATAGTGGCCAACTATTTAACCCAGATACTCTTTTGGTAGAGTTTGAATGTGAGACACAGAAAGTGAGTTCACAGACTGGTGTTTCATAGGGGAGGAGTTCAAATACTGGATTTTGTATTGTGTATGCATCTTGATACTCCAGAATAATCTTTGGGATCTCTGCCCTGCAATGTCCCCAACTCTGGCTTGCCCTCTTCCACTCTCCTTTAGCTCCTATCCTTGGTCCTTTCCCTTATCAGGTTGGGCATGGTTGCTCATGGTTGCTCATGAACCAGTGTTTGGTCAGGCACTGTTCTGGTGACTGGTGGCCAAATACAATCTGCAGTCAGACTGAAGCTGTGGGAACTCAAGGCATTTTTGCCAAAAAGATGGGAAGGCAGGCTGTGTGCTGTCTCCATTCTGTCATTTCTCCAGTTCTTTTTCTTTCTTTCTTCCTAAAAAAAAAAAAAAAAAAAAAAAAAAAAAAAAAAAAAAAACTGGTTTTATTTTTTTTTATTATTTCTTACATACATCACAATAGAGGAGTGTATTACATTCATAATTTGTTGATGCACCTTTATTTTATTTATTTATATGTGGTGCTGAGAATTGAACCCAGTGCCTTACACATGCTCGGCAAGTGCCCTACCACTGAGTCACAACCCCAGCCCCTCCAGTTCTCTTTTTCAGACTTAAGCAAAAGCCCAGCGCTTTGTTTGATAATTTGATGTTCAACTGGAAAAATAATGTCAGTATCTCCTGAGAGGCATTATAATTGTCACTGTTAAAAGTTTTGCCTTTCCTCCTTCTCAGATTCCCTGGGCATATTGCTAACCTGCTTTAATATTTTATTCCCCTTGAGGGAAGCTTAGTGATTTTTTTATTTGCAAATTTTGATAAGAATAACTTACCTAAATCTGGATTTCACAACTAGTAAGCAAATATTACACATATAAACATGCATACCCAAACACATACACATGTAGTTCTTGGAACTAATCATTATATGAGTCTCTCTCTCTCTCTCTCTCTCTCTCTCTCTCCACACACACACACACATTTCATCAAAAGCAAGGAAAATTAGCCAAAGGGTAAGAAATAATAGCAATAATTTTACAAAGAGATGGTTACCCTTACTAGCAATCAGAAAAACACAAACAGTCCATCACAATGAAAAAGCAAAATAAGACGTGGAGAATGTCAATTCTAAAAGAAGACATCAGGAAAACAGAAGGCTTTATGCACTGCCAGAGGGAATATAAATTAATAAAGTTCCATTGATAAACAGCATAGTCATTTTAACAAAAAATTTATAGATCATATTCCACAGTCATTACTTTTAGGTATACACTGTATATTATAGGGAGACTTTTACACATATCAACAAAGGAGAAGTTTATGATTCTATTCGTTTCAGAATTGTTCATAAGACCAAAGGCCTGTAAACTACATAAAGGGACAACAGTTGAGCAATGAGCTGTGGTGTAGTCATATGGTAGCATACAACAGACATTTGTTTGCTTTTGCAAAAGTTAATTTACTACATGTTCTCCACTGGCAGAACATGCCTCTTGCCGAAGAGGTTTAAATGCCAGATTCTTAGTTTAATGCTTCCCTTGAATATTTGTTTTGGGCATGAAGATCAATTCTGGGCACTGGGAATAGAGGAGAAGCCTGTGAAAAATATTCCTCTCTGATAATCATAGAAGAGAAATTTCACAAGGATAAATCCTTTTCTCTTTTCATCCTGCATGTTATCCAGTAGTGTGTATGATGTTGTGACCCTGTGAGGAAGTGAGGAGACATGCAAGGAACACAGAGTCTCAAATTGTTGTGTGTTTAATAATACTAGACCAAACTACTTCTAAAATACTTTTTTTGTGTGTGAGCAAAACATACTCTAACAGTTTAAGCCACCTAGAGACCTTGGGATTGAGCATGGGGGATAATGCCAAGGACAGGAGGAGAAAGTGTCTTAGGCTGTAGTATTTTTTATCTTGCTGAGAGTATTCCCCACCAGAATTCATGAGAAGTCAAACTAGTCTGGGGGGAATCCACATCACCATGGTTTGGTTGCTCCCAGCAAGTTAAAACCGCAGAACAAGAAATAGGACATTAAACAGCTGCCCTTGGAGAAAGGAGATCTTAGAGGAGCCCTGGCTTTTAGGCAGAGAGGTCAGAGTAAGTTTTGCCAGCAAGAGATAGAACAATCACTTTTTCATGTGATTTTTTTTTTTTTGGTTCAACTTATGGAATTTTCAGGAAAAGATGCCAACTCTGGCAAATGCAAGGACATCTGAATTTCTCATCCAACTGTAAAATAAAGCACCTCTGGGTCTGGTTCTTGTAAGAGGAGCAATTGAGAAACAGTCTCAGGAGCCGACTTGAAAAGAAGAGAAAATCAGGTGTGGCCCTTGTGGGGAAGCTCAAACCATCCTAAGTCTAGAATATATAATAGAACATATATTTGAAACTCTTGAACACAGGGCAAAAAGTTCTCTTTTACATGTGTTAACCTGTTTTAGAGCTTGAAAAAAAATTCCACAAATTGTTATGGTATAGATTTTTCAAAGGTTAATACTAGTTCAAGTAAGTCATAAGGAGAATAATTTCTAGCAAAACTGTACTTGAAAATATTACCTTCACTAGAGACATGAGCTTTATCCCCCGCCACACACACATACTACCAAAATCTAGTTTTAATGGGGGGATAGAACTAGAGAAAATAGAAGATAGAAATGCAAGCAAGAGGAACAGAATTAAGAGGAAGCATCAGTTCAGATGTAGAGGGACTAAAGGCAACACATTATCTCAGCCTCCATAACTGAAACCTTAAGTGAAATCTAGGGTACAGGATATGTAGTCTTTGCCTTTAGGCAGAAGGGTCTTTCAGGAGCTCCTGGGAGGAGGGACTGAATGAATTGCCTGTTTTCCTAAAAAAGCTATGTCCTTGTGGGTAGGCATAGGATTCCTGGGGGAAAAAACACTGATTCAGAAATGGAGAATGTCTTAGAAGAAAACTGAAGCTGGAAATTTCACACATCTTCTCAATTATCTTTATATTCCTAATGCTACATAATCCTTTGTCTTCAGATTTTGTATTGACCTGGCTGGCACCCAGAAACGTACCTGACTACACTAGGAAAAATGAGGCCCAATATGGAAAACTGTAACTGTAAGGGAAAGTGAGAGGCTTTCCCCCATATTTAAGTCCATGTTTTCATTTTACATATATGAAAGTGAAAAAAAATCCCCTGAAGAGATTTTTGACCCTTGATTAGTTCTTAGCCCAGAAAAATTCACCCTTATCACTCATATAGCAATTAAAATATTTGCTTAAGCTTAGTGGATGATGACAGTAATGGCTTTCTTTCACTGGTGACATTGACAATTAGGCCTATTTTGTGGTTTGAAAGTTCTTTAAATGCTACATAAATGGTGGATTTGTAGGTCCCTTGATTCAGCAAGAACAGCAATATAGCAGGTAGAAGGTACCTGCAAAATGCCTGTTGAATGAATGAGTATAGGAGAAAAGACTAGAGAACTATGTGTATTACCATTTTATGAGTGCAAAGGCCTGGAAAGTCATGACATCAATATCCTAACATAACAGAGAAATATTCATTGCTATTTTACGTGATTATATTCCTTTATCATCCCAGCAACTGAAATTGGCAACAGTGCCAAAATATAAGTGTGCCCAAATCAGCACTCACTTTTTTAGGGAAAAACTTGCTTCCTGGGCCATTTCATTTGAACAGATGCATTGAAGGTCAGTGAGAGAAATAGTGTCTCATTCTTATGAATCACATATGATATTGAGGGAGGAGTGTCACCCTGAC